TCAATGTAAGTGTCCACATACTTGCAGGTTTTCTCCCAATAGATATTTAAAGCCTTCCTTCTAATAGCTTTTACTTTTTTACAGGCATTTCTATATTCCCTCAGGTCCTTCTCATTTTTAGAGCTCAACCATTTATTGTATAAATATTTTTTCTCTTGAACAGCCACTTCAGCATCCTCATTCCACCAAGGCTTGTTTTTTCCTCTAACCTCTTTCCTTTCCTCTCCGACAGCTTCTAAAGCTGCGGCATGCAGGCACTTTACTATATTTTCGTAATTTAGTTGATCATTCAGACCTTTCTCTTGATTCAATTTCTCCATCAGTCGGCTTTGGAACAGTCTTTTTACTGATTCTTGATTTTTCATACTCTCAATTGAGTATCGAATCGTTTTCGAAGAGTCTGAATTTCCTCTGGTCACTGGAGAGTTTCTAAGAAGATTATGGGGTTTAAAATTCAGAATACTCTTTAAAAGAAAGTGATCCGAACCACATTCCGCCCCTCTCATCACTCTAACATCGTTTACCTTTATCCTAGTAGTGCGCCTGAGGATTATATAATCTATGATTGATTTTAGACCTTTAGTGGGCTGGTGCCAGGAGAATTTGTGAATTTCTTTATGCTTGAAGAATCCATTTAATATTTTCATGTTTAATTGCTCACATAAACTTATTAATCTTGCACCGTTATCGTTAGTTACCTCTTCTCCAAAGCGTCCCACGGTCTCATCGTTGAACTTGCTGCCAACACGTCCGTTGAAGTCGCCCAAACAGATAACAATCTTACGATCAGGTGTTCGCTCTATCAAGTCGCAAATATCATCGAAAAACGTGTCTTTTATGGATTGCTTGGAATCTTCAGTTGGAGCATAGATCCCAAAAATAACAACCTCTTCTCCAAACAATGCCATTTCGAGTTTAATTATTCTTTCATTTACACATTCATAATTTTTAATATACCTGCGCAATCTTTTGTTAATCACCACTGCATCCCCAGCTCTAGCTCTCTCACTTTTTTCCACTCCACTGTAGATATACACGAAATCTCCTGAAAGTTCATTGTAACTTCCTTTGATTTTAGTTTCACTGAGGACTGCCACATCGATATTTTGCTTTATCAGTTCATTTTCCACTTCGTTTTTCTTGGTCCTCAAACCTTGAACATTCCAGGTACCAAAAAACATGTTCCGTTTCCGCGCCTTAAGTCGTTGCCGATTAGATCTGTCCGGTTTTCTTTCTGTTTTGGGTTTGAAAGCGAAATATTTTTTTCCGATGAAGGGGTGCTGGCCCTACGATCAACCTTTTTTAAACTGCAAGGACAGTGGTTTGATTTTGGGGTTGCCTTCCCCTAGACAGGTTGCCTTCACTATGGCTATGAGTCCTGTCCACCCAGTAGTTTGATAGCCAAAATAAAAAATAGCGATTTTGGGAGGAATGCGTAATTGTTTTTCAAACATCGAACTTAGATTATGATTTCTTCCCCCTGCACTCCCTCAAGGAATAGTTTATTCCTAATATTTGAAAGAGGTTACTAACTTTGGGTTTCAAATATCTGAGGGTATAGAGTTTCAGAGGGAGACAACTTGAATTAAAAAGGATTTGTCAGACGCAGCAGTTCGGTGAGAAGAAGGATAGAGGTCGGTCGCACAGGATCTGGTGGGACGAGATTGAAAGGAGCGTTTGAATTATAGGATCTGTAGAATATAGGAGGGTCGTCGAGTTCTAATGGTGTGGTATAGGAAGGTAACAAGGAAATACTGACGGCGGTAGGACGGATGAAGCCACTTCAACTCGGTGAGCTCTTAAATATATGAACTCTTTTATAAATAATTTTCATGTTGTAAAAATATCACTTTGTAATATTCAAAGATCCAATGGCAGTTCTGACCTTCTATAGAATAAAAATTTATTTTTTATAAGTCTGTAATGTAGGTATTTAAACGTTGTAAAAATAAATTTCTAAAATATTAATTAAAGGATTAACAATATTAAGGGCACTAGCCATTGATTTTGAGGAAAAATAAACAAACAAAAAAATAATTTATTATGACGTTAATAAAATAGTCTGCCTCACTTGCACTGTCGATATTGAATTTCATCGATAGAATTAATTAGTTTAAACATTAATGTTGACAAGTGTAGCATATTTATCATATTCCAGCATATTGCTTCTAAAATATTGACTTAATAATATTGTCTGTATTAGGTGGGATTTATTTTTTTGACATTTGCCGCTGTTATGTGCGCGAACTCGTTTTATATCACGTTCTGGACGATTATGTCTTGATGTTATAGAGAGATACTTACTTTCTCCCACTGACTCCAGTTTAAAATGCAAGAATAGGGGAATAATTTAATTTCTTATAATTTCTTTAATAAATAATACATGTTTCATTCAGTTTTGTTATTTAAAGATATATTAATAAACCTTACTTTACTGATCTTAAAGTAATCAGATATTAAATACATATATGTGTGTATAGTAAAAGAGATTGATACTTCATTTTATGATGAAACTGTTAATAAAAATATTTGAAATTTTGTTATCCTTAGACGAATAATATTTCATATGTTAAAAAATCGATTATGTCCGTCAGCGCACGATCGAATATTGGAACCTAAAATATTTAATGAATTTTCAATACCAATACTATTTTTTATTTCGTTAATTTTTACTTTTCTCTCGCTTCTTATCACCAGGCCTAATTTATTAAAATAAACCCTCGTAATGGGTAGTTTTTTTTTTAGATTCTTTGGGGATATTCTTCAGTAGCTAGATACTGAATGAAAAAAAAAATCATTAAAATTTTTTTTTTATTTATTCATGATATTTACAACTGTATTAAAAAATTAAATACATTAAGTAAATTTGATAACAGAAAATAAAAACATGAAATGACTTGTTGAGAAACTACCCACTGGTAACACTCTAAAAACAAAATGTATTTACAATAAGAGATCTCGAGGCCATCTTCTTTTCAGACGCCTCGGAGGGTTATCAGGAATAGAAGAGGAAGCAAGGTTAGAGACGAGAGGATTCGGATGGTTCTGAAGTTTATTATGGAAGGATTGGTATCTGGATTGGGCCAAATCGGAAACATAAGGAACATTAAGGTCATTATGGATTATTTTATTGGTGACAAAGTAAGGAGCATTGAGGATTTTCCGAAGGATTTTGGATTGTAAGGATTGGATACGAGAGGAATTCGATGGCTTAGTGGAGCCCCAAAGCTCAACTCCGTAAGTCCAAATAGGTCTTATTGTAGTCATGTATATAAGTCTTTTGTAATTTACTGGAAGCTTAGAGCGTTTGTCTAGTAAGTGTTGGAGTAGTCGGAAACGTCGAGCGGTTTCTTGTCGTTTCAGTCTGGGATGCGGCTTCCAAGTTAGACGTGTGTCCAAGTGAAGTCCAAGGTATCGGATTTGTTCAACAGGGATAAGTGGGGTATTATTAAAGGATACTGTGGGACATGAGGTCATAGGTTTACGTCGAAGGGTAAAGGTGATTTGATGGGATTTATTAGAATTTATTTTAATCCTCCAGTTTTGACACCATTCTTCAAGGCTTGTGATGTGCGATTGAAGAGTTTGGGATGCAATGGTTGGGTCATTATTAACGGATAGGACACATGTATCATCGGCATACGTGGTAATAACAGTGTTAGGATGGGTTGGGATGTCAGCTGTATAAACTGTGTAAAGGATAGGACCAAGGATACTACCTTGAGGAACACCAGCGGACTGGGAAAAGAGGGATGAATAAGCATTATTGTGATTGACTTTTGAGTATCTATCAGTTAGATAGGACCGGATAATGAGGAAGTATGTAGGATGTAGGAATTTACGGAGTTTGTAAAGTAGTTCCGGATGCCAGACTCGATCAAAAGCCTGTTCTGCATCGAAAAAGACTCCCGTGCAGTACATTCCGCGCTCTAATGCAGAGGAGACAACATCCACCACATGATGGCATTGCTGGATAGTGGAATGGGATCTGCGGAATCCAAACTGGTGATCTGGGATTATGTGATTAGAATCTAGGATTGGGTACAGGCGTTTTAGGATGAGTTTTTCTAGGACTTTTCCTCTGATGGGTACATTAAAATTAAAAAAAAAAAAAAAATGATTTTCTACTGCAAAGAATGCGTAAAATGAATCTTTGGGCTGCTTAATGATTATTACCTGCCACTTTTTGCTACTTCTTTGATGGTCTTTACTTCAGCAGTAAAAATTTTTCTTGCAATGGTTATGCATTGCATGTTTTCATTGTTAGTGTTTCCCAAATGCGAGACTGAGACGAGTCTTGGTTTTGCGCAAGAGTCTTGCAACAGTTTTTCAGTTACCTATTAGCTTATTACTGTAAATTTTCAGATAGGAAAAATCTAACTAAGCCCAAAGGAGAAATTTGAAGAGTTAAATGCAAAAGTATATTCGTTTTACCAGTTCTTTACATATAATAACTAAAATTGTCAAGTATTAGTAACTGTTTCGTCTTATTTTGTATTCAAAAACGAATTTTTTTTTACCAGTCTTGGTCTTGCTACAGTTAGGCGGTCTTGGACTTGCAAAATGCAAGACCAAGACGGATTTTGGTCGGACGGAGTTTGACAACACTATTCACTGTAGATCATCGAACCTCTAAGATTTACCAATTTTCGATGCCCCCCTTGTATACGAGTGACGTTCTAAACCTCATTGAACGAATTAAATTCTTGATTATTGTACTGACCATGTTATTATCACACAATTTGTTGAGTGAAATTTTAAAATAAACTTAATAATAATACATCGTTAATATACAGAGAGAAACACTTTATTTTCATAAAATATAAAATATAAAGGATTGCTGCAGTTATATACTATACAGTTATATACACTGCAGTTACAACTATTATAATAGTTGCAGTGTATAACATTAGATATTAGTTTTATAATATACTACCATGCAATGAATATATCCTAATAAGAAAATGGTGTATAAATATGAATTTACACAGATCACGAACCTGGAAGTATAGTCATGTGAATTGTTCTTTTCATCCTCACGCCAGAAGCTTTTATATTTTTCAAAGCCTCCAGTTCTGCTATAGTGACGCATTTCATATCCTGTGCACCTCTTGCATAAATATCTCCATTACTGTCCATCACAGCTGCGAAAGGGTCATGTATCCATTTCTCCTGAAAAAGAAAGATATGTGTTTTATTGTTAAATTCAAGTAAATATTATGCTTAACTTTGTTTAATAAATGATATAAGTAATGAAAGTTTGATTAATATATTTAAATCCACATTATGAATAAATTATTTTGGGTGTAACTTAGTATGGTGAGTGAATTATTGTCGAAGGAGAAATTAATCAGACTTTTAGTATCATTTAGTCTTCTTGGAAGATAGGTTTGTTTTCCTTCTTTGAAGCTCCTTTCCATTCATTAGCTATTCTCTCATTCAGTAGTCGATCGATTCTCAAAATACTAAAATTACTAGTTCATTATTCTTTCTTATCTAAAATGTATCTCTTTTCTTATTACATCTCTGGAGTTTCTACATTAAGAAACAGCAAAGATCATTAAAATTTATTTCTCTGAAATTCTTTCGATCTTTCGAATCCAAGCATATAATGTCAAGAGAAGAAGAAATACAACAACATTGCAATGCTGCTCAACTGTGTTGAGTTGCTAAATCACACAGCATACTCATCAATCAAAAGATAATACCGTATAAAAATATATGAGACAGTTAGATCGGGCCATTGGAATACGTATCAGACATGCCAAGAGCGGTTTGTATAATCAAATAAGTGAAAGGCTAGATCAATATATTTGGTGATGGAGGATTCTTAACGAGTCCAAAATAATTGTTTCTGCCTTAGTACCATAGTCACAGTCCTGCTGCCTTACAACATCGAATTTCTGGAAGAAATTGTTTTTATTAAAAGGGATGCTTCCCCTGCTTCCGAAACATAGCCCTATAAGTATTTTCTCCCATCGAATTCATCTCTGTACTTTTTCTTCAGGTAAGTGATTCATTTCGTACATATTTCTTCTTTCTCTGCCTGTACCTTGACGCCATGATCCTGATCGTTGGTTTCAAATCTGATCGTTGGATCCACTATGAGTGCCTCATTTTCCGTCACATTGAACCCTAAGATGTCAATGAACCTTGTTGAGCCTTCTGTATCCAGACAGTAATCTTCGAGGAAACATTTATAGTTCTTTATTTCTTTAAGAAATTTAGGAATTCGGCTATACGATGCTTTATATTATTGTGCCGGCGGTTGACTAGAAGCATGTTATGCGGACAATTGCACAAAACATGAGCTGGGGTTTCTGACTCTCGGCCACATTTTCGGCAGATGGGTACATCGCAGTTAGCCTGGCTTCCTGTCCCTGGTACTCCGCCGAGAGGAGCGTAATTTACGTTTGATTTCGTGGCATTAGTCCATTCTGAGCCGGTGAGAACTTTTCTATCATAAATAAATTTATTGCTCCACGAATTAGATTTAAAATGGTGCACACCAATAGCCTTAATACTTCTTCTTATTAATACTTCTTGTAAACTAAAGTGATTTTATCAAGGGTAATACTATCAATGAAGAGTTATATAAGTTAATAAAGTGTTATTATTTATGATTTTTTTTTTTTAAACGGCCATATGATAAGATAGACAGTTAAAATTAGAGGGGCAATTACATATCGATATGGAAAATATAAATAAATTGTTGAAAGGAAAAAGAAGATTTATTTATCATTTTTTCTTTATTACTAAAAACACTGATTAATAATCAGGTATAATAGATTTTTTTCAAAAAGATTCGTTTTCCTATTCTTTATTATTTTCTCTATTTTTTATTTTTTTTTTTATTATGGTCTGATATACATATACGTTCCTGTATCTACCCTTGAATGGTAAGTCATAGAACTGATCAGATCTCTCTCAAAATCTTATGAGAGAGGGCATGCGAATTCGGGATCAGCTTCAATCGCTTATTCATAAATTTCAAGGTCGTCAATGACAGCGTTTCAAAAGAGGAGTTCAATAAGGAAATGTGAAATAACTCCATACTAATAACTATGGTCCACTTGACAATGAAGTAGCTGCCTGGCTACTGGTCACGACTACTAGCGAATCCAGGATTTAATTTGGGGGGGGGGCTTCAGCCCTAAAGATTTTTTCTCCATATACATATAATACATATAATAATTAATTTGAAAAAAAAATAAAGAAATTAATTACCTTTATGAAATGTTGTTTAAGTGGTTCTTGAAGTCCTATTAAATATAATTACACGAATTATACGAACAAGAATACTTTAAGAGATAGTTTTTAATATTTTTTTCTGAAAAACATGGTTACATTTTACCATTTTGGGGGGGAGGGAGGCTTAAGCCCGAAAGATTTTTTTTTCATATACATATAACGACAAAATATTTGAAAAAAAATAAAGAAATTAATTTACCTTTATGAAATGGTGTTTAAGTAGTTCTTGAAGTCCAATTAAATATAATTACACGAATTACACGAACAAGAATACTTTAAGAGATAGTTTTTAATATTTTTTTCTGTAAAACATGGTTACATTTTACCATTTGGGGGGGGGGAGGCTTGAGCCCGAAAGCCTTCCCTCCTTCTCCCCTCCCTCCCCCCCGTAGATCCGCCTGTGGTCACGACTATCTGCAGGGTCCTCTCCACAAGATAGGAGTGGCTGAGGATCCTAGTTGTAAATTGCATCATCAAGGAACAATGTATGCAGACCATATAGACACATGACCTGCCTTGAGGGCGGGGTGGCCGAATGGGCTATCGCGTGTGCACTGCACCGCCGTTGCCCGGCAACCGGATATATGATTCTATGATATGAAAATAGTCACGAGTTCGCGTCCCGGTCCCAGAGAGGATTTTAAATTCCCCGCCCTCGCTCTCTGGTCCGGGAAAATCCCGTATAGCCTAAAAGGCGAGGTAGGGAAGAACAGGAAAAAAAAAAAAACATGTCCTGCCTTAACGGACATAAGATAAAAAACATTTTAAAATATATATATTAAAAAATCTAAATTATATTGGGCAGCAAGATGTTGGATGGACAAATGACCAACGACTTTGTCATCCAAAAAACTACTTTGCATAAGAAAAAAAAAATGACAATGAAAAATGGGAAACATAGTGTACGAGTCCGAGGCGACAGCCCAGAAAAAAATTACTACACTTACAAAGGGCTCAGAGTCGGAGACTGTTTTCCATTTCAGCTGGCAATATCCAGTATGGGGATTCAACATCTAAGTTTATAGGAACGTGTATAACAAGTTGGCTATGATCCTAGGCTTTGCAGACAAAGTCGAAATAATTAAAGAGTCTTTTGAAGCGATGAAGGGTGCCTTTCTCGATTTACAAAGAGAGAATACAACAATGAGAATCGATTGAAATGAAACTAAGACTCGGGGGTGCCCATCCCCCCAAGGTCGAGGACGCAAGAACCTATCCCTCACTCTCAAGATATTTTATTGCTCATCTTTTCGTAAAAAACATACATAGCAAGTGAACATGTAATTAAAATGCCTTCGGGGAGTAAAAGAGAACCCGTGAATATATATTATTTGTTAGCAATGTATATATTGTAAGTTGCTTTTAAATAAATGATGGAGGATTAGAAAAAAGTATAATTAGAAAAACCGTTTATGCCTTCCTCAAAAATTTTTATGGCGCAGTTTGTGCTTTTCAGGGATTAACCTCTGAAAAACAACAAAACAAAAAAAAAAAAATGGCGAAAACAGTTCCATATAATTCTGACTTCAACGCTATTTTATTAGCTTCCATTTTTGATATAAAATTTTCCTGAACAGTTAATCCCAGTCATTGGTAAAGTGTGCACACTCTCATTTTATTTTTTCACCAGAAATTATAACATGAGAAAAATGAGTTGCTAAATCCCAAGGAAACAGCCTGGTGGAGAAAATATGGGGAGGAAGAAAAGGAAGCCAAGAATTGCAGAAAGCAAGTGAGTCCAAATTAACAATAAAATTTAGTCTGAAGCAAAACCACTTCCAACATGGCAATGACATACTACAAAAATGTAATTTAACCATCAGGAATATTTACTTCATCTTTCAAGATCAACAAAATTGTATAAGTGCACAAATTTCATTTCTATTGTTTGTATTCATTACATACAATATAATCTTGAATCATTTGTTTTTTATAATTTATTCCAATCATAATATATACTAACCATAATTTATAATCAACCATAATTTATACGTGCTAAATTTGAGTGATCAAACCTCACACAGACCACACCAATTCTTACAATAACCATCCCACAACACTCACTTAGAGATCAATGGATAATATTTGGCTCATGCCAAATTACCGTGATCATGTGCCATGAAAACTCCTTCTGGGCACCCCTGCTATGACTGAATACATGCTTGCATGCAAACCCTCCCTTAGGATGGAGGTATGATTAGGTGTTTATTGGCAATACAACTTTGAGAGGAACGCAGAACTCCAAAAACGAAGCTAATCAAAAAAGCCATCGGCGAACAATAATAGAAGTTATGACTTCAAATACACCTTAAGCAAAATAAAAGCAAAGATATATCAGGACCACCAAGGTACGCTGACATTATACTCATATCAGAATTGTCATGAACTAATTACGGATCGGAATGCAAGACCTTTCCTAAAACCCAAGATTTATTCCATGCAAACTATGAAAGCCGAATCATACTCACTGAACGCAAAAGTTTATGCTCTACAACTTTGACCTTATAAGTTTTTCATCTTAGGGAACTCATTTCCTCAAGTTACAGGAGCTTTTATAGTAATTTGTCTCAGTTTTTGACAAATTGGGTAAAAATCATGGTTGGTTGAACGGGGTTTTATACCTTACCCGCGTAAACAAATTATAAAGTTTATCGCTTTGTGATGCATCGTTTAAGAGTTATAGGTGAAAAAGCAATAACATTTTCGGCTATAAAAAGTTTTCCCTTGGTGGCCCGAGTTAGCGATTTTGTTTTTTACATGTGTAAACCCATAAATATAAGTTAAAAAGGTTAAAACTTTTCTAAAATTTTTCGCAATGGATTTCCCTGTATAATCCTCAAATTATTGGCCTAATATCCTTTAAATCAGCCGCCATTTTTGAAAGCGGCGGTTCTAGAATGGCAGACAAGGTTCTTTTTACT